TCTATTTGATTTTATTGTAAAATATTTTTTTTTTTTGTTAATTGTATATAACATATTTTTTTACATATTAGTTTGAGTTGCAATATTGCGTAGAATGAGAGAGTTATTGTGATCGTATCGAATTTCATATGAAATGAGTTTTTAGTGGAACTTGTCTATGCTAGACAAAGATATAAATCAAATTTTTTTAGAGAGAACTGGCCCGGTCGGTTTGCTTTATCTTTAGGAATATGATTAATTGTTTAATTTTACGAATCTAATTTACGAATCGAGCAATTTTACGAAAACTAATTTACGAATTGGGCCGAATTTGTATTTTAAAGCTATTATACCGTAGAAATACATTAAATTTATGCATTTTCAAAAATACTTAAAGGAAATTTTGTACACATCTATAAGCAATATCGAACATAGAGAGTATTTGCAAAGAAATACTCTCTATGTTAGATTCTAATTGAATCACTACTTTCTCTTTCGCCTGGCTTAATACAATCAGATAAATTATAGTGTTCGTTGTACCTTTCTTTGAATATCTCTTGTAAAATATGCAATGCGGCCGGTCATGTAATAATCACATCAGATTTCATTATTATTGTTCTTAGTATTTTTAGAACAAATAACAATGTAATCGGGGTATATTAACATAGATTCCTCTGTTTCTATTAAGTATACATACATACGTACATACTAGGGTATAAAATTAAGGACGGAATAGATAATTCGCGTGGAAAATGTTGTTCATTTTAAAATAAATATTTCGTGTAATTATGAAATTTTTAAATTAACATATATGTAGGTATGTATATTTATATATAAGGGATAATATGATTGAGTAATAACTTTGTAAGTTAATTGGATTTTTGATCAGATATTTTTATTATGTTGATTACTTTAATAACTGATCATCAGATGTAATTTCTTATTAAATTTCATTATACAAAATTATAATATGAAAATATAATTACATACTTGTAAAATTTTCTGTATTTTCATATATTTAATGAAGACATGTTACTATATCATATTGTTATTATTGTTGGCTTTAATATCTTAGTCTTAATTAAGGGCAAAATTTTTTATAAAAATCTTTCGCAACAGACTTATACATTACTGTCTATATAGGTATTAAAAAATTTTCTGGGTGGAAAATTTTCAAGTTTTATGTATTGCTGCCCCTTAGTATTAAGAATTTTCGAGAAGTTTTTTAGCTAATGCAAAGTAAATAAGTTGTAGATCAAAAGGCAGTGTGTGTTTAGAGTAATGAAAAAAGTTACCGTTCGTATTTGATTTCGGACATCGGAGACTTATTTGAGCACTATTCTTTGACATTAATTTGTTTAATATTAAATCCAATTTAATTATTTTGAGGGTTTGTCTCGGTATGATGTAAAGATTTTGAACCATTGATTACAATTGTTGGTATCAAGTTTTTAAATTGAAATTGTGCAAAAACTTACATGAATTTTATTTCATTCTTCTATTTTTTTTCTTGCAAATTCTCACGATAATTTTAAGAATTTTAAATATTAACAAAATATCAAATGAAATAGAATGGCAAATAAAATTTTAAAATTTGACAGCATTATAAAATGACGTTTACATATTTCCTTTTAAATGTCACTTTATTTTCTATTTAAAATTATATAATTTGTCACTTCCCATTCTTGTTTATATTGTTGTCATTTTACTTTCAACATGACAATTATTTGATTAATTATTTTTGTTATACTTGACAATTTAAATTTTCAATTTGATTTTTTTTTTGTCTTCTCATTTTCTTAAATCTGAAAGTAAAAATTTTCGTCATGTTTTTTTCTTTTATCACAAATAATTAATTGAGTTTTTCCTTTTCCTTTTTGTTAATGAAAAGAATGCGAGTAGAAAGAAAACACAGCAAAACTTTTTTTTGTTATATTTTTTATTTTTGTTTCTTTGTTACAAAATTGTAACTTTGTGTTAAGCCAAAATATTTAATTTGTAATTTTTATGTTATTATTTTTATGCTCTTTTATAATATAAGTAATTATTGTTTAGTGTGTTAGAGTATGGCGCTCCACCTTTCCAAGTGGAGAATCAAAAACACAAACCAAACAATTTTTAAATAACACTCACTGTTTCACTTTGAAAATTAATGGCGTTTGCACGATTCTACAATAGTTATGTTGAAAATTTATTTTTAATGATTTGTTTTTTTTTGTTGAATTCTTATATTTTTTTCTCATTGTTACAGTATATACGATATATATACAAGTTTTACAAAGGTAAAGCAAAGGGTAATCGTTTGTACAAAATCTAATTAATTTTTATACTTAAAATTTACTAAGTGAAAGTGACCATTTCTACCGTGATTTTAATTTATGTTGTGTAAGTATAATAATAATAACAACAATATAAGAGTAGCATCTAATGCTCTATACACTTCATGTGTGTATTTCTCTACTAAACACAAACAGAATTAAAAAATTTTTGAGAAAATTTTGATTTTGAGTAAAATAGGAATGTGTGTATGTTATGTGTATATATGAAACAAAAAAAATGAAAGTAAATATTATAAATGAGAAGAAGTAATTAAAAAAAAAAATAATCTCAGAAAAATTAAAATTTATGTTTATTAAATTGAAAGTGATAAATGATACTTGAAATTGAAGATGAATGATGTGTAAATAAATAATATTTATGTGTATGTAAATAAATTAAGACCACTACAAGTAATTATAAAGGAGCCGTATACTTCATAATTATAGTGGCTATATTTTAAGTATTTTAGTAATTTTCTTAGTTTTGAAATGGAATTTAAATGAAACTAATTAATTTCATAAAATTATTATAATGTTAATTAAGTAATCATATAGTATTTTGCTAGGTTAATAAACCTTTTAATGTTGTTGAAATAATAACAATTTAAAATTATGTAATTTCAAGGGAATTTTGTTTATTTCCTTTAATTAATACTATGTTTGTTTAATTAATACAACCATATATAATATCGTCACTCTAGTACATTATTGCCTAATATTTATTCGAGCTTTCATTATTCCGAAACTATACTAAAGTTCCAGCCATAATAATGTTTTGATTGCAATATTTTATACACTCTTCAATCCGAGTCCTATATTGGTATTCGATTTGATTGTAGTAAATTTGATGATCGTGTGTTGTGATAATGTGCTATTGTTAGCACTATATTTGCATTTATTTTCAGATTTGTTCATTCTCTGTATGTAGATACATGTTATTTTCAGATATGATTTCAATTAGACAGTATACCAATTTTAACAGTATGAGTTTATCAACTATAATACAGTTGATAGAGATATATATATCAATTGTATTCATTATTCACTTTATAAATTTTTATGTTGTTTGACACTATTTCTGTACTATAAAAAATTTGGACTCTATATAAACTGGAATCAATCGTCGCTTAGTAAAATTTTTTCTATCAAGTAAAATTCAAGAGCCAAAAAAATATGAATAATGATTTCAACATTTCTTTGACCTTTTTCATAAAATTTTTAATTTTTATAAAAAAATAAAATATTTTTAAATGAGCGACTTGGTTTTTCTACCCTGTAAAGGTGCCTAGTTCTACCAGTTGAGAATCTTATAATATTTATTGATTGAGTAACTTAGAGAATTGGTTGAGAACTATTATATTTGTTGATTGATTTAACACTTGGTTAATGAATGCCAATGTTATAGTCATTTAAAATTTTAAATAAATTAATTATATTAGCTAATTATATAATTGAAGGAACATGATTTTGAATGTCAATCAATGACATTATTATAACAGTTTGTAATTACTTATGTCATCTTGTTTGTCAATTGATAAAGTTACTAATAGTAATATTGTTATAATCTAATTATGTTTGTCAATTATAATTTATGAAATTAAAAATCTTCTTCTTTTCGTATATACTAAATGCTTCTCATATTAAGTTGAATAATTAGGTGACATTCTCTAAATTAAACACGTGCTTCATTCATTCTAATTATTTAATTTTTATGATTATTAATTATTATTAAAAATATTTTTAATTTGCAATTATATAAGAAGAATATTTTTTAAATTAAATTTTTTTTTCTTTTATTCCAGATTAATTAAAATGTTCTTTGGTCATCACAGTTGCTTTTTTTCAACTTGAATTTTAGAAAATAACTTTAATAAATCTTAATAATAATTAAAATTGTGCAAAAAGGTTCATTAAAAGGAAATATATTAAAAATTAGATGAAATTATGGGGTTGCACAAAATTAATAATTAATTATGAATTTAAAAAATTTAATTCTATAGAACAATTTGAGCTTTTATAATAATTATAAGCCCAACCAATATAAATTAAAAAAATTACGTTGATAACAAAATTTAAAAAAAAAATATAATATTATTCCACTATAATATAGCATAACAGTAAAATTATATATATAAATATATACCCATGCATATATAACACAGGGTGGCTCATTAGTAAATGCTATTCAATACACAATTATTTATTTTTAATGATTTTTTAATTTTCTTAAATTTTTTTTCACAAAATTTCATAAAATGTCTGATATTTTGCTAGTAAATTTTTAATGAAACACCCTGTACATATATATATGGGGCGTGTATATGTATGTAAACAAATTTTTTATTGCGCATAAATAATTTAAATTTTTGTTTTAAAATTTCTAACCCATAGGAAGAGAATTGTTCTTTTTAAACCTCTTGTATGCTATTCAAAAATTAGTTAGCCATGTTAAAATAAAATTAAATTACATTCGATAAAAAAAAATATATGCATACAAATATAAAATTTGTGTATGTGTATGTATATATGTGCATATATGTACATAGGAAAAATTTTATCATCTATAATTATTTTTCATACCATAAGTGAATAATGTAAAAAAAAAAACGAAACGAAATTGTGTTTTAAATTTTTAAGTGAAAAGCTAAAAGAAATATTTTTCAAAAAATTATAAATGTAAAAGATAAAGAAAATATAAAAATACAAAATAATCAAAGTAAATAGAATAAAACAAAAATAAATTATAAATTACAAAAATCAAAAAAAAAAAAAAGCAACAAAAAAAATGTTAACCATCAATTATGTGAATCGTTGGAGGATAACGATATTTCTATCGTTCTTCATTAAAATATGTGGTAAGTAAAGTTACAATTCTAAATATATCTATCTATATCTATATGTTCTATGTATGTATACAAAAATGAAGTCAGAATTTTGTGTGACCGCTTCTCATTAATAAATCTCTCATTTGATCACAATGAAACTTTAAGAAATTATTTATAACATTCATACAACATACAACTTCAGTTTTGTATTGAGAAAACTTATCGTTTCAAAAATATTAGCAGATTTTTCAAAACTGGAAAATGTAGTTGTACGGGGTATGTTATTATAGACGAAATCTATGTCTTCTGTTTGCGGGATATTTTTGAAATTGATTTTTGATCAATTGATTTAGTAGGTTTATGAAGAAATCCATTAGTAGGTCTTTAAGTTCTTAAAATCTTAAACATCAACTAAATTTAGGTATAATCATGTACCCCTTATGTATGCGTTTGAAATATTTATTGAAATACTCACATTTTGACTCAAAACTCATGATTGTTGTATTGTTGCATATAATTTTTTATAAAAAACATACCTCCCATTCACGTTTCATACATTTTACTTTGAGTTTATTTGAATTAAAAAATAATTTAGAACGTTTGTTATTCTATTAAGTACACTCCTTATCAAGAGTTCTAGAATTTAAGTTTCCTGTTCTATCATATCATAATGTGCGATATGAAGTTTTTTATTTATTATACTTAGTGTCATTATATTTAGTGGGTCGTATCTTACTATAGCTATTACACACTATGAATTCTCTATAATTATATACGTTTGTAAATAATGATTATTGGTTAACTTTTGTATTTAAGCATTAAAAAATTTTAATTTTTTACATAAATATTTTTTTATAATTGTTATTAAATTTTGTATATTATTTTTTAATTTGTAAAGTTTCTCACTTAAGTCTTTTGTTTTAAAAGGAATTTGAATAATGATTAAATACACTCAATGTTAATAAAATACAAAATTGTTATTTCGGTCAGATTCTATATTTACTAGGATCTTTAAAGTAAAATTTTTCTCAATATTACTTATGATAGCCATATATTGTTTTTTTCTATTAACATAAATTTGGTATGCAATCATAAGTATAATCCATTTTTTATACCAATAAATTATTTCAATAAATTTACAATTCTTGCATGATTTCAGTTAATAAAATTTATGACACGCGTATATTGAGAGAAGCCTCTTGAAATAGAATTTTTAATAATAAAGTCGTTTTATTTTTCATAAAAAAAAATTAAGTGTTATATGTATTTTCTTCTGGTCAAATAAAATATCTCATGGTGACAAAATTTAATTAAATGGGACATGTTGCATGAGGGAAAACCAAAAACCATATAGTATAGTATAAAACCGACCCGTGAAAATGCTAAAGAATCAACTTTAATTAATATCTTAAATGAGAAATCATTAATATTTTGCCATGCTAATTTTTTACACTCAATGCCATATATTTAATTCTTTTAATAAATGTTCTTCTCTACAATCCCAATATTCTTCTTATTTCTTCTTTTAGCCTGAAATAATAATAAACTTTTTTCGTATCATGCATCCATTATAAGTTCTTTCTATTTTGTTTTGTTTTTTTTCCATATGTGTAATTTTTTTTTTTATATACGACACCATTTATGCATGTTTCAGCATAATTTTGCCTCATACATGACAATAAAATGCCAAACAATAAGAGAATTACACCTTGATAATTCATGAACTAAAAAAAAACCAAATAAACCTTAAAAAAATGCTTATATAGAAAATGTCATAAGATGTGTGTCTGGAAAATTTCAAAGGATGTGATAATCCTTAAAAAAAATTATTGTGATTCCCACATGATGTGCTATGTATTACACTATAAGGGAATACAAAAAAGAAAAATAAAACAGCCCGAGAACTTAAAAAATATTGAAACTAATGTGAAAGCATTCAGGCAATTATTTATTTTAAAGAGAAATAAAAGTATAAAAGCAGAAAGAAAAAGAAACGAAGAAGAGAGAATTAAAAACTAAAATTGTTTTTCCTTTCGTGTTTTGTGTTCTTTTTAGTCTCCCAGGTCTCCTCCTCTGTTCTCTGAATACATTAACAAGGTAATAATTTAAAAAAAAATTGTAAATGAAAAAAAAAGTGTATAACAATTTTGAAGAATTTCGTTTTTTTTTATTATTGCAAGACAATTCAACAACAATATAACAAAGTGAGATTATTGAGGCGAAGTACCTTTGATAAATAATAATCTCGTGGGAGACAATTATATTACAGACGATAAAGTATAAGAATAATTTAAATAATTTCTGAAACATATAAAAACTGTCATGATAGTATTTCTCATACACAATAAATTATAAGGTGTTTATTTTGAAAAACGATAGCTAAAATATTTTCCTTTTTTTTTTTTTTTTTGAAGATTATAAGTGTAAATTTAGAAAAGAAAGGGAATAATAGTCAGAGTTTTCGTATTTCTGTTTTCGAACAATTTAATGGTACGAATTTTGTTATTTTAATAAATACCAACTCTATTCAGGTATTATAATTGAAATTTCTGTTAAAATTGAAATTCTGGATAGAAATAAGCTTAAGTAACAAGATTTTACTAACACTTACGCGATATTTCTAACTTATAATCAGAAGAATTGCTATAACTTTCATTGAAAGCAATTTATAATTAAAATATACTTTCGTATATAGCTCAGATATAATGAAAAATTTTGTTCAATTTAAGTTTAAATTACATGGTTTCTAAAAATGTGCACTGCATTTCTAACTCACATACCAACTCACATGATTCAATATTATTTCGATTTTTATATAAGTACTTAATTTTGTACTTAAAAACCTAAAATACCTTAAATTCAGAAATTTTCATTTAAACTCTTACTATATAAGTATTTAATGGATAAGAATTGTTTGTAATAAGATAATTAGTCACGATTAAATTGTATGCTGTTATGGCAGCAACAGTAGTAACATTTAAAGAATTTAATTTTTCTCATTTTATTTTTTTAATAGAGCGCATTTATTGTACTTTAAAAGAGTGAAATTTTCAATTTGAAAAATTCGATTTTAATTTAAAATCGATTTTTTTTTGCTTTTTTTTATAATTTTTTGATTATTTTTGGTTTTTGTATTAAAGAAATGAATTTTAAGTTAAAAATTTAATCGTGTGAATTTAAATTAATACCGTGTCGAAATCAATTCTTAAAATGTTGTTTAAAAAATTTTAAATTGGGGGAAATTTCAGTGAAAATTTATTGAATGAAAATGAAAACAAAGATTGGATAAAGAATCGATTAATACTGGGTAATGTGTCAGGTATATAGGAGGGTATATATTTTGAAATTAATTTGAGATAATTCTGAAATTTTTATTATAATAATAGAGTATTGAAAGAACAACCAATTGTGATTTCGCTAAAAGATGACTTTTCAAGCTGAAATTCTGAGTTGATAGTTCAGTTTTTATAGATTTTCATTCTACAAGTTTACTTTGTTCCTGATAAAGAATACAAAAGTTAAGAGATTCGACGAACTTGTAAGATTTTGAAAAAATAAATGTAGTAAAATAGAATGACAGACATGGCGGTTTTTCTTATTTAAACTAAAAATTTGAGTGAATCATTAAAATATTGAGTAGATCCATTATGAGTAGATCTTAATTCTGAATTCAAAAAAATTCACTAAAAGCTTAAAAAATTTCACTCATTTTAATGATTACGAATTCTAATAAATAAATTTTTAATTCAAAATATAATCAATTTAAATTATAAATTCAAGTATTTAACTCAAAATTACTACACATATTATTTAATTGCCCTTATTCTTTACCATGTTAACTTCATTTTAATTCAATTAAATAAGTAAAATTGTAACAGAAGTTCTCCAGTATTTTTGATTAATAAAAAAATAAAAATAATTTGCGCATATAATTTACACCTGTTCAAATTGATATACATACACACATATACTAGTTAAAAACCAGTATTACGAATTAAAAATGTGAAGAAGACAACATTAAATGTCACAATGTATGTATGGGATATTGATAGTGCCGCTTCAATTCTTATCACACAAGAAAAATAGAATAAAAAATAAAAATTTCGCCTTTTCATGTGCTTCTTTACTTGTTCGACATTGCAAATACGTTATGTCTGTATGTACGAGTATTAATGTATGTACAAAATATAAAGATGTGTGTTTGTTATTTATCAAAAGATGTGTTCCAATTTTTCGAGGTTATCTTTTTAATTTAGAAAATTTCTTTTCATTTGTTTTTTTTTTTTTTTTTACTTTATTTTGTACAAAATATTTTTCAATGCTTTCTTTAATATACTCATATATGGAGTGTATGTACATGTGTACATGAATGTAATATTTACGCTCATACTTAAGTATTATGTACATAACATACATTTGCTTACCATGTCTTTTGTTTTACAATTTTTTTTTTTTTTTGTTGTTCAGCGTACACATAATTTTTATGCATGTCTATTTTATGCCGTTATTCTTATTAACATTTGGCAAGTACTTGTATATACAATGATTTGATCATTATTAAAATAATAACAAAAGAAAAAAGAAAACAAATTTTTTATCGTTTATCAAATAACAGTAGGCGCTATTTTGTCGCTATCAATGTTTTCTTGCTATCACTGACAAATTTTAAATTAACATTCTTATACAGGTACATATTACGTAAAATCAAATTGGATCGTACAAAATTTGGATTAGAGTGTATTTTCAGCTTTAAATATTGCAGGTTTTGCTATTACCTTACAAAATTTTGTACAATTTGTTCAAATTTGCACCTAAAAGTAGGCAATATTTATTAATTTTGATTAACTTGTGAGACTGTTGATCTACAACGATATGATTACTATTGAAGGACATTTTTTGTACAGAATATTGAAATTATTGCAAAATTGACAAACAATAATTAATATTAATACCTTACAGATGCGTTTCATACAACAAGTTTTCATGAAAGTCGTATATGATTGATATATAAAAGTTACGGTTTCTTCTTG